ACAAAGAAGACCTAAGACATTTGAGCAACTAGAAGCCTGTATTAGACAAGAATGGGACAACATTCCTATTCCTAAACTTGAGCAACTTGTCTCCTCAGTCCCCAGACGTTTGCAGACTGTTATAAAAAGAAGAGGGGATGCCACACAGTGGTAAACATGGCCTTGTCCCAACTTTTTTGAGATGTGTTGATGCCATGAAATTTAAAATCAACTTATTTTTCCCTTAAAATGATACATTTTCTCAGTTTAAACATATGTCATCTATGTTGTATTCTGAATAAAATATCGAAATTTGAAACTTCCACATCATTGCATTCTGTTTTTATTCACAATCTGTACAGTGTCCCAACCTTTTTGGAATCCGGTTTGTAATTTTACAGTATAATACTGTTATATTTACCATTTTTGGAAGTGAAAAATTACAAGCCATCTTGTAATTTACAGTTGAAACACCATAAATTGACATTCCCAGAATTCCGTGTGACACTGTGTCACATTTAATGTTTTTTTTTTCATTGAAATAACTCATTGAGAGTTGTTGTTGTTGTTGTTTTTCTAAACGGTTATGTATGTTATGTGTTCTGTTATGTCTTACGTTATTAAAGGAATAGTTCACCCAAAAATAAAAGTTTGCTTAAAATTTACCCTCAGGCCAACAAAGATGCAGTTGAGTTTGTTTGTTCATTGGAACAGATTTGGAGAAATTTAGTTTTAGGATGTGATGCTCAGAACATGGTAACTGATGATCATAGTGGGAAGTGATGCCCATTTTACCTCAAGTGGCCGGGGGCGTTTTACCCCACAGACTAGGTTTAAAAAAAATAAGTCATTATGAAAATATTATTATATTTCCCTTAAGTAAAATGTAATCCCTAACAAAAAAATCTTGACTCCAGTGGTTATTTTGAGAGGGAAAAAAATAAAAAATTATATACATACATACACATATATATATATATATATATATATATATATATAAATTGAATTATATAAATTATTTTATTGCTACATCATTTAATAATATAACCAGAATAATATATTAATAATATAACCAATTTTTTATATTTTTAACATGAATATAATACAAATGTTATACTAAAAATTATTTCTTTTAACAATATTAAAATCATTTCATAAAATCAATGCATAATAATCATAAAATAATTAGCAAAAAATTGTGATAATTTAAGTTAACTTGGTTAGCCATTTTTCTGCTTTATCTTTTTGCATGCTGCTTCATTCCTAAAAACATGTTTCTTAAAACAATTACTTGTTTGTGGTTAATACTAGAGTCACTGGTTATCTTGACCCATCTTGGAGTATTTTGAGGGCCACAGAAATTCAGCAACACTTTGAGTGGCACACAAATGAAGACTGTCTTGTATACAAAGGGTTATTTGACATGTGCACTAGTACAGTTAGAATTCTGTGTATGTCTCTTGAAGTAGTCTGCTAGTAGTAGCAGCTATGCAATCAACCTGCACAACTAGTAAATAAAATATAAAAAAATAAAACATTTTCCATCAGGTTTTCCATCCTGTGTCATCTTCATTGTGAAATCATGTCTTTTGTGTTGGTGGTTTCTTGCTGTGACATCCAGACATTTCTATTTTCATTTTGTTTGATCAGACATCTGGTTTCATTGAATCCGATTCTTCCACAAAGACGAAGAGGCAATGCAAGCTTAGGTGGGTTTACATTCAGATGAAGTTATGAAATATAATGCAAACACGTCTTTTGAATTCCAAATATGTAGGGATTTTTTTTTTTTAATTTGGTGACTTTTTCTCACATACTCAGACCATGAGAATGCACATGTTTAATGCAGAATATTAGTATTTGTGTTTCTGCCACTCGCTGTGGGAACGATATTGTGACATCTTTAAAAAGTCGATGGAACACTTGTCGCCATGGCGACTGGTTCGTTTAGCCATTGGCCGGCGTGTGTCTGAGTGAGCGATAACATTGAGGCGCGGAGTGCACGTGAAGCAGTTGACATCTGTCTGCCTGATAGCACTCGACATCCTGACATCAAACAGCTTTGTCTCGAGTCTGTGTGTCTTTTTGTGTGTTGCTTTGTGGTAAATAAAGAGGACACGACTTTTGCTTCAGGTGTGAGTTGTAAAGAAAGCAAAAGGGTGCAGGCCGAACATTGTGCTTTCAACAATTAAATCTTACTTCTTTGCAATATATATTTTGTTATGTGTACATGCATGTTTTTCAGTGCTTGGCTTACATTAAATGCTCAGCTAGTGCGGTGTGATGTTGTAAAATGAATTGAAATGAAAATGCATTGCTTATGGCTTGCAAGATGTTGGAAACAGGCCTTAGTTTTAATGTTTAGCTTTGTTCAGTGTCTCCTCTATTCTCAGTTAAAGGGATAGTTCACCCAAAAATTTGTTGAAAGTTCATTCACCCTCAGGCCATTGAAGATGTAGAGTTTGATTCTTCATTAGAGAAATTTAGCATTACATCACTTGCTCACCAATAGATCCTGTGCAGTGAATGGGTGCCGTCAGAATGAGAGTCCAAACAACTGATAAAAACATCACAATAATCCACAAGTAATCCACACCACTCCATTCCATCGATTAAGAAACAAACCCATCATTAAGACTCAAAACTGTTGCTTCTGGCTAAAATATTGAGTCCTCTATCCATAATATTGCTGTCTTAGTTGTCTCGTCTGAATCAGGAGAGAAATATGCACAGATCAAGCACCGTTTACAAGCCAAAACAGTTCTAAACCAATATGTTGGTGGATTTTGATGTGAGAGGTTATATGGATTTTGGCTTCACAAGATGTTGTGTTGAGTCTCTCATGTGTTTCACTGGTTGTTGCCTATGTAGTGCATCTAAATCAGTCACTGATGAGATGTCATTTCAGTTGGGATGTGTCCTCAGAAGGCAGCTGTCTGTATAGGAAGTAGACATCAAGGCAGCTCACTAGGTTTTGGGACAGAGCAGATGTTTTCTGACGAAGGAGTCCGTAATACTGTACCTGTCATTCTCATTTCAAAGCAATTGATTGGACTGTATTTTGGTTCTGTTCTTATTTTGCTGAGATGATTTGAATGGTCTGCAGAAGAGGAGGAGAGAGATGAGCCAGCATTTGTTTTCAGTCTTTGAAAGCAGTTTAAACCGATCTATCTAATTATATTTATGGGTGAAGCTTTTCTTTAAAGGCCTCTCTCTGAACCCCAAACAGATGGTGTTAAAATTTCCCAAGGTTTCACGGGGTCAAGCAGTGCTGTAATGCAGCATAACTTTTCCTCTGATGTCTAATTGTGTAATCACGATAATGATGATTACGTCCACTGCCTGCAGCCGTTTCTGCTTTTATTCCAGTAGAAATATTACAGCTTGAACTTTGCAGGGCTTTAATTGTTGTCTCTGGCTTCATTCACTTCATTAATGTGTTCATTTGTTCAGTTCAGTTGAAATCTCATCTCTGTTCCTCTTGTTGGAGCCTGCTGTGAGACAATCAGACCCTGACAAAGATACAGATTTTTTTGTTCATGTTCTTCTCGCTGCTGAATGCTGTTTATCGCTGCTCAGGCAGGTTTATTTATTTGTGTGTCGTTCTCTCAGCCTATGACGCTATCCATTAACAGGATAGATGCCTGATAGCTACACTTGTTGTCTCGATTGCTATTTTTATACACTGGATATGATGACATTTCAATAAGGTGTGATAAGAGGTTTCATTGGAAATGATGGGGGCCACAGTTGAAGCTCTCTAATGCAGCAGGATACAGGTGCCTCACGAAATCAAACAAACCCTCGTCCTGTGTGTCTGGTGGTTGTAGTTGACCCTCCAGATTAAAGATTTTATTTTATTTTCAAACTGCACCGGGATGCATTTTAAATAAAAAAAAAACTGCATTTTAAATTCTTTTCAGTTACTGAATTTCAATTGAGGTCACAAACAAGATGAAGAGTTGTAGATCTAATATAAACCTAGAAGTAAAATGACATTGACATGATTTTTCATAAACAATATATGGAGTATTTGTACAACTACTGGATAAAATTAATAATCTATGTTTGAAAGGTAGGAAACTAAAATCCCTATTGAATTTTGTATTTACATATTTAATTATATTTAATAATGTATAAATTATTAATAATAATATAATTTGAAAAGTCTCTCTCTCTCTATTATATATATATATATATATATATATATATATATATATATATATATATATATATAATTAAAATATAAATGATAAATACTCCATATATTGTGTTTATGAATAATTCACATCTCCAAATCTCTATTATTCAGACGGTATATTATTAAATATAATTAAATTTGAAAAGTTTTACAATTCTTGAAAACTCTTTGAAAACTCTGTGATTCAGTGAGTTAATTCAATAAAGGATTCATCAGACAGATTCAGTTCAGTCATTTCTGAGGTCATGAATCATTGTAAAAGATTAATTCAGTTCATAAGAGTCATTTGTTCTGAATTAGACTTCACTGATTGTGCTGTATATTTGTTTGCTTGTTATTTATTTGTATTTTTTTTATAAAGTAGCTAGCAAAGACAACTCAAAAGAAAGTCGTGTTTTCATTCTATTATGTTTTTGTTGAATTTCTCATCAACAACTCAGGTGCTGGTGATTCAGCAGAGATCCAGCTCTAATTTCTCTCTAAGTCTTTAAAACAGAGCCAAATAACATGAAGAGTCATGCAAGATAAACAGAAATGTTGAACAGATCACCTGGGGCATTAGCTATTCTGACTTTTGTTCTTCTGTTGTGGGATTGTTTTGAGAGCTGCTGTTCAGTAAATTCTTCTTCCTGTCATCTCGGTTCAGCTTCATGTGTGTTGTGGCCAGTTCAAATTCACACTCATGAATTGATGGGGAGCCAATTCTTTGGTTTTGAGTTTCTCACATGTGAGGATCTGTTGATACACAGAGAACTACAACAGATAAAACCATTAAGCTGATGTTCATTTCTACTCTGAAATTCTGTCTTTCACTATTCTGCTCCCTGTCTTTCAGTTTTATGAGCTGTTTTGGGGGAAGGTATTGATTTTTATTTTCTTTCAGGTTAATATGCTTCACTGTACTGGTAAAGGACCTGAATGCATATATTGTTTCATTTCTTAACTGTATTTGAATTAATTTTACGTAGTGACAGAGCTGAACCTAATGCTCTGTTCTCAGGATTACATTCTCATTAAAAAATATCTATCTATCTGTCTGTCCGTCTGTCCGTATGTCCGTCCGTCCGTCCGTCCGTCATTCTATCTATATATCATTCTATCTATCGCTCATTCTGTCATTCCATCCATCCGGTTTTGTTTTTAATATTTCTATGTATTTTAAATTAATACATTTGTGTATTTAAATTTTTAATTTGTATTTTTTATTATTTATTTTTTAAATATTTTATTTTTTCAATAATGTTTTTATTACAAGTTTAAACAAATCCATTAAGTTTTCATTATTTATATATTTTAATTATTTTAATTAATGAATTACATTTTTTATAAATTGTTCTTTTATTGATTTATTTTAGTTTGAATAATTTTTTTCAAAATTGTTACTATTTTAAATAATTTTAAATAATCTAAATAATTAATTTATTTTTATTTTATTATTTTTTTTTTAAATGATTGTTTATTCATAGTTTAAACAAATAAATTAATTATTTAAATGTATTTATTTTCCCCTCTAATCTGTAGTAGTTCC